CTTCAATCATGAAACTGATCAATGATCAGCTGATCGGCTTTTCTCTCTTGTTTGTTTATCGCCCACTCTGTGCCAGAAAGATGAAACCAGCAGATGTTGCGCTAAACAACAGCAGCACGTTTAAGCTTGATCAGCTGTTGTTAGAATTTATTTAATATTAATTTCTAGTATCAGCTGATGTTTGCTGGAGCCACAGCTGTAAAGCTGCTGGTCATGATATGGTTTGGTTATCTGGTGAGAGGGAAACATGAAGATGAAACCAGGAGATGTCCTTACTGAACCATCAGAGCTGTGATGGAGAAACAGGTTTACCTTTTAGGTGACATGGATGAGTTGAAGTTACGAACTGTTTCTGAGAGACTAATAACACCAGGATCCTTTTCTAAGTAGCTGACAGCTGGCTGTGCAGGTGCGGATCTAGCAAAGTTTTGCTAGGGGGGCAGGTAGGGCATTAACAGGGAGAGGGGGGCACAAAGAAATACTTTTCTGTCTTATTCTTATTTAAAATGTCTCACTTTTAATAAATATTTATCTGAATCTTTAAACTAAAGTGGTCATCTGATGTAACCTGTATAGAAATCATACATATACCAACAAGACTGTACATCACTGTCACTGCAGTGTTTCATTCAAAGGCTTTGTAGCTTTTCCTACAATACCTGGGGGCTCTACTCAAAATGCCTGGGCCCATTTTGTGTCCCAGTCCAGCCCTGCTCCACACTGGGTTGCGTTGGCAACATCTATAAAAGCATCGCTGCCACCTGGTGCCCTTACACTCTGATACAGTGAGCTACTTCATCTGACCTCAGCAGCACTGTTTTACTACCTTTATTATATTTGTTGTGTTTAAATTAACTTCTGTAATGAAGCAGTTTCCAAATGTCGACCTTATCGTAACAGATAACAATTAAGATCATCTTCATCTGCACTGACACACTGATGACGCAGTCACCATTATGATGTTTGACTCTGAAGTACTTTACCAACAGAGTGTGATTACCTCTCTGAGCCACATACACCACCCCAGCATACTGGTTGACTGCCACTCCAAACACGTCTCCGGTGTAGAGCTCCGGGTTCTTGGGCCAGCTCAGATCCAGTTTGTACAGGGGTCTGCCCAGCAGCTGGTAGTCGTGTCTGAGGCTCGAGCCGCCCGGCTGCTGGCTGCTCATGGTCCCGTAAAGCACCATCATGAGCAGGACCAAAGAGGCCATGCTGGAAACTATCAAACACGTATGACTTGTCTTTGTCATCAGCATCAGTGGTTTTGCTGTTGGCGTGTACTTCATTTAACACTCTCGTTTTAAAGCTGCCAGGATGCTGCGTACGTGTCCGCGCAGGACGCACAGGCGGAAGTCGGCTTTGCTACACGGGCTACGGAACAAGCAGAACCTTCGTACGATACCTGCTAAGATATTATACGGTTAAAAGCTCGCGATTGTCTTATATATTTGAATCCCACCGACCAAACAGAAAGACACTTCCTCTTCAGCACTAAACGAAAACCAAACAGGCTGTCACGTGAGACAAGCACGCAAAGCATTTCTGTTTATTATGTCGCAATAAAACCGCGTGAAGAAAAAGAAAAGAAAAAACTAGATTCATTCGAGTTCAGAAATAACCACTGAATAAAGATGAATTTAAAAAATAGACCCATGAGATTTAATATATAACGTAGCATAAACAAGCTAACATATGAATATCGTTGAGGTTTTATTTTTACAGAAACATTTCTATTTCCGGTCGCTTGAATCAGCAGCAGGAGGAGGAGGAGGATGCTCGGTGATGCCTGTGTTTCCCTGTCTGGTTTTATGTGTAATGAATGAGCTGTAGTCAGCGGGATTTACAGACAGCGTTAAAGAAATGACCTCTTTTGCGTGTATCTTTATGACTCTGCGTTATTTACATATCTGTGTTACAGCAACAGAAGACCACAGTGGGGCCCCCACAGTGGGGGGCACAACTGTCAGCTAAGAACAGGAAACTGACGCCACACTTCGGACTCACCAAAAAGAAACAGAAGATTGAAAAACACTCAAAAGGCCTCCGCAGTAAACAGATCCGTGGGATGTGCTCGGAAGAGCAGCTCTCACACAAAACTGTGACTCTGTTTGTTGCAAGGAAACCGGGTGTTACTGTATTTGCTGTTACTGTTTAAGACAGGAAAAAAACAATACAATTATTATCTAAGGACTACACTGTGAAACAGTAGAAGAATGTTAAATTCCAGAAATACTAACTTTCTGTCAAGGTCTGATGGCTCTTCGTGTATTCACTGTGGAATTCAATGAGTCTTGAAGCCAATGGACAAGAATTTTACAAAATTGTTTCAGAATTGTTAGAAACGCCTAATTTAATATGTATTCAAGAAATATGGTTGAAATGACAGTTTGATTGTGTCAGATATTGGTATACAATCAGGAGTCACAGACAGACTAGAAAGGTGAAGAATAGGACATACATGTGGTATGTCTTATCCCAGAATAGGACATGGTATAATATTATGAATGTAATCAAGGTATGGACAGATAAACATAGTGTGACGATATCATGTCATTGTGTGGTCTATTATCATAATCCTAGCAACACACCGAGAACTGATATACTGAATGACGTTGGTGTCCCCATCAGAGGAAATGTGATGTGGGGAGTCGTAGCAGAACTCGTTCATGTGAATGAAGAGATTGAAAAAGTTCATAAATGATCATGATTGTGTGTATATTAGTAAAGGGCACAAGCTATCCCAATCCCCTCAATCAAACCAAGCAGTTATAGTGTAAATAGTCAATTCAGGTAAAGACCCAACAAATCTGTTAAGCTATAGATCCATGGCATTAAGATCAGGGAGCATAGAGTTGATGATAACAGAGGCTCCTCATCAAATGTGGTGAGGGACTTCTGCAACTCAGAAAACAAGCAGTAAATAGCAAATTGTAAAAGTTGACATTAGAATTCCTGTTTGGTAGGACAAAAGAAGTAAAAATAGGTGCCGACTGTCGTATGATGTGTCGTATATTACTTAACATAAAGAATAATGACGTTTTTGAAAAGACTGAACAAATGTAGGAAAATTGCGTTATGCTAAAGATGGGGCGCACTGGGTAGAAAAATGGAATGTCTCTGAAATAAAATGCAGCCTGCAGGAAAGGAAGTAGAAGACTGTGCAAATAAGTCGGGATTTATCCTATATTTATTTATTTTATCAGTTAAAAAAATCATGTCTTTTTAAAAAAAATACTAAAAATCAGTACATTCATGGTTACAGGTGCACGTGGTGAGATTTCTACATGCTTGTTTGATGAGAAGCTAAACTGGTGTTAAAGAAAGTTAGACACAAGTCTAGTTTCTGCTTTGTGTGTCTCTCAAGTCGAAGTAGACGGGAGGAAAGAAGAGCTTATCTGCCCGTACGTGTATGTGTTCAGGGAATATAAAGGTGGACTTGTTGGCAAAAATGAATTCAGTTTATAGAAAATTAGCACCAAAGGAAAAAATATAATTCATAATCATATGCAGAAGATTTGATATGAATGTTGAGATAGTGGACACACAAATACATCTACAGAGAATCCATTAAGTAGTAAGTAGTTTTGAACAGCATGCAGGGCAGGAACCCAAAGCAGGAGATCATATAGGACTGACCCATACACTACACCCATTAACACCCCGTCTTTACTCTATTATGACAGAAAGTGTTAAAAATGCAATAAGTGCGAGTGGGGAGAGATTTAGTAGCGTGATTGAAAGGATCGTAATCAGAACTTTACATGTTAGAGGAAGCACCACAGATTATGTTATTATTACAGGAGCATCTTTGAACTACAGGATTGAGAATACAGCTCGTTTCCTCTGCTAATCTGTCCACACGCCAGTGCAGGCGGTGATGCTGCTGCATGCTTTACCGACGCCGTTAAAATAATTAACAGAAGAAGAAAGCCGACCCAGCACCACAGTTGACCAATCAAGATGCAAGCTAGCTGTGATGTCACGACGCTGCTGTGGCTGTGCAGCGAGGCGACTCTTGCTTCCTTTACAGTAATTTTCTTGTAATTATTTTATTCGAGCTTTTGAATCTCAGTGCGAATGACAGTCAGTGAGGGACAGAGGCGCGTTTCATGTAGTGTAAGCCGTCGAAGGATCGACTCCATGGAGGTCGTGGACAGCCCGCTCAACCTTGTAAGTTTGATGTTGCAATAAGAGGCTATCTTTACAGCAGCTAGGAGCTAGCGGCTAGCCGCTTTGTTGTTAGCTTTGCTGCTGTTGTGCTGCGACCCATTTGCTTCGTAAGTCAGATGTTGGAGCAGAGACTGGCGTTACTCTCAAGGCGTAAAGTCGGGAAAAACAAGAATATATGGATCTGTTTTACTCGTTAGCAGAGCCATTCAGGCATCACTAGCAACATAGCGCAATGCTTTTATGCCTCATAACACACCGCTGCAGTCCGTTCACGAACAGAGGCTAACCAGCGCTCTGCGCATGGTTTATTTAGTCGGTGACAAATACACAACCGTGGCCGAACAGACCGGCACGGTTGGGTTGCTGTTTACACTCATTGGTGGAGCTACTTCGACTTTCTGAGTTGGAAATCCAATTTATGGGAACGTTTCAGTTACCTCGGAAATCAGAACCAGACCCGCGTCATCCCCATTCACTCCAACGGAACGTTTCGTTTTTTACAGCAATGGCGGATCATGCAATAGTTAGCAATATACGCTAACCGCACCATAGAGATGCAGAAGTGAAAGAGAAGATGTTTAAAAAATAAAGTGCACCCAGGTCAAATTTACTCGTGGGGCACAAATCATCAGGAGATGTAGGTGCTGTATGTACACAAAGGATATATATCAGGATACTGAAGCAGTGGACAGAGCCTGGTCAGTTTCCTTCGTATGGTTTATGTAGTGAGTCACAAATACAATAGTGGGATTACAGATTAAAATCTTTACCTTCATTGTCACGATCCTTGTTTGTTAACTTAAGGTTCTTGTGGCTTCTCCGACTTTCCAAGTATAAATTGGTTGAGGAGGCGTTCCAGATGAAAACGGCACCTTCTGACGTCAGCTGGATGCTGACTCTGGCCCGCTTGTCAGCATTTAGCAGACACATAGGCCATCCATGTCAGCAATGCACAGTCAGGGTTTTAGATGATTGATCAGGAGCATGTCTGCGACACATGAAACCCTTCTCCATTTGATCTTAATATTTCCTCCTAACTTAGCTACAGCTCTGAAACTCGGTCATCCAGGATTACAGTAGAACTACCAGCTAGTGTAACATGTCAAGAACAAAAAACACAGTAAATCACATAAAATCCAATTTATCGGATCTGAAGACTTAAAGTCTTCAGATTCTATCGGATCATCAGTCTCATTTTCATAGCATTAATGTTCACGTATGACAAGAAGTTTTCTTACAGTAAAGAGGGGAAGCTAGTCTCTGTTTCGTATTTTTGCTTCATATATTATCCCTGGTTTCATTCCACCACCTCTTTAACATTCTCGTAACACATTGCATTCCCTGTCTTACGTTCTTCAGGCTCACCAGCAGTGCAGACAGGCCGACCGTTTGGTAGCTGCTGGGAAGTATGAAGAGGCCATCTCCTGCCATGGAAAAGCAGCAGGTAGTCTCAGTTTCACACACACTCCTTACAGTCCTGCCATGTAGTGCATTGCTCCTCTGTAGATGCTCTGCAGAGCGGAGGTCGTTCACTGAATGTGCTTTGGACTCTTTCTGGACTTGATCTGCTTTTATGCAGAATCAGGAAGTAACCAAACAACGAGTAGAACGTTACAGTGCTGACTCTCCTCACATAAGCAAACTGCATTTCACTTCCTATATACTTTTATGTTGTAGCCATGGTAACATCTTATAAGAAAGCGTCTGAGGAAGGGTGGTGTTGTTGGGTTTGGGTTTTTTTTACTACATCCACTTCACTCCAATCCAGCGCAACAAATACTGTCCCTGTCTTATTGTGATGACCATACATTAAACTGATGTTTAATCCAATATACTGTGTGTGTGTTAGGTGTGTATTCTGTCTCATCTCTCTCTCTCTCTCTCTCTCACACACACACACACACACACACACACACACACACACACACACACACACACACACACTGTCTCACTACCAGATTTTCTGACTGAGGCAATGAAGGCACCCGTGTGTGAGCAGGTGAGACACTCAGTTTTATCTTTTTATCTCTCTGTGTTTGAGCAGTGATGGAGTGAAACATATTCTCTGTCATGTAAACATGCTGATTCAGATTCACACACAGTTCTAACACCACCTGTAGCATGCTGTAGATCATCTAGACCAGCGGTCCCCAACCTCTGGGCCGCGGACCGGTCCGTGAGTCGTTTGGTACCGGGCAGCGAGACTTAAGGCTATGGTGTGAAATTTATGGTTTTCAGGGTTTTTATCGTTAACTCTGTTTCCCCGGGTCTTTTCCTTGTTGTAGTTGTGTCTTATTTTGAAAGAAATATTTACATGTTACCATAGCGACCAGAGAGCATTAAGGGGCAGAGAGGAGGATGTTACTCTCAATGTTGTTGGCGCATTTCAGGAGGACGCTGCTAAAAAAGTTACACAATTACACAGTGAATTCATGTTTATTATTATATTTACCAAATACCAGTTTTTGTCTCGGTCGTGTCATTTTATTTTGTTCTATTTATCCGCGACACCTTGAAGGCCGATGAGTGAAAATATTGTCTGACATTAAACCGGTCTGTGGCCCAAAAAAGGTTGGGGACCGCTGACGTAGACCCCAGAGGAAAACTGAAGCCATGACAACTCAAGTTTGTTTGTTTTTTTTAAAGCAGCAGCTGAAGTTAAGGGTCACTTCCTCTAAAATGTCCATCTTATCATCAAAGAAAAATTTAAGGGGAAAATAAACTTAATGTAATGTTGAACATGTAACATCAGGAAGACAGCGAGACAGTGGGTGAGGTGTAAAAGCAGGAATGACAGATGGAGTTTCAGGCAGGAGTACATCAGTAGCTCTGATGGTCAGTGGTCATGTTGACAGTTGAAGAAGAGCAATGAAAATCAGTAGACGTGAGACAGAATGCATGTGTGAATGAGACGGGTGTAACCGCAGACCCTGTACATCACACTGCTGTGATGTATGGTTTGGAGACAGCAGCACAAACAAAAAGAGTTGAAGATGCTAAGACTTCTCATTAGGCCTGACCAGGACGGACAGGATTAGACATGAGGGTGTCAGAGGGGCAGAGCAGGACCACAGAGCAGATTCAGGGGTGTAGTGACAGAGGTGACCTGCACATGTCTGCTGTAAATAAAAACTACATTGACATGTGGTCTCCGTGGCCTCTTCTTGGTTGGATATGCTGAGGATTTTTTTTATTAGCACTACTACTGTTAATCAGTCTCTGTGCAAATCTCAATAAGTAGTAATCTGTAGTAGTCTTAAAAACAGACAAATCTTAAACGTAGGAAAGTCAGAAGTCACTCACCCACCTGCCTGATCGTCAGAGTTTCAGAGCTGATTGTTTGTGTATGTCTTGTATCAGGAGAGTGATTGTTTGTTCCTTGACTGTAGGCTCGTTTGTCCATGGAGCTGCAGAGGGACAGTCACATTAAACAGCAACGGTTAATCCAAGAGCGCTGGAAGAGAGAAGCTCGGCGAGAGGCGGTTAAGACACGACTTGGTCTAGTGCAGGCTACCGGGCCAGGGTTCTTTTCAAAATCTCCGTCCACGGGCAGCAGCCGGCCCTATGCCTCTCCAGGCGCCTCAGCTGCAGAGCTTGGAAGCGTCGGGGAGAGGGAGTATGACACCTTACTATACCAGCTTCAGACTCGGCAGACTGGAGGAACACAGATTTTAACTCCAGTGTGTTCGGGATCTAAGACCACCAAAGATGACAAAACGCGCCTGGAAGAACAACAGACGACCATTGAGAACTTGCGACTCCTGGTTGACGGCCTGACGAACGAAAACCAGCAGCTGAGAGCCGAGAACGAGCGGCTACGACTGGAAAACATGAGGCTGCACTCGGAGGCAGCCGACTTTGTGGAGCGCTCCGAGCTCTGGGTGCTCCCACAAGCAGGTGGTCCTATGGGAACCGGAGTTGGACAGGGAGGGGAGAGTAAAAGGAAGGGAAAGGAGATCGCAATCCCTCAGCTGCCACCGTTGGAAATGCCAGCTCAGGAAGACCTGTGTCTGGATGACCTGCCTCCTCTGGAGCTGCCAGAGGACATCCAGAATGAACTGCAGGAGCTACTAGACAGGGATAAGCTGTAATAGAACACATCACACACACATACACACACATACATGTGGTTCAACCAGTACGACTTTGAGTTCAGATGCCAAAACGTTATACAGTGAAAGCTACCGGCTCGACCCACGAGGCCTCTGCTCAGGTGGAATCAGACGACAAACGGGAACATCAGAGAGGGAGGAAGTGATAACGCTACTATCACTGGTGCAAGGCAGTCCAAGCCGCAGATAAAGGAAACGTTCACTAATCTGTGAGAACAGCAGCGAGGCTGTGTGTCAGCATGACAGGAATACGGGCAAGGTTCAAGGTTTTCCCAAAACTTTCACTTATGTCTCAGACTTCTACTGTGTTATCACATGACCCAGATCTCATACAGCATTCAACGACAGCTTAGTTCTGTCAGCAGCAGATCAGCTGATGTTTCCCACAGATTTAGACTTTATTTAAGGTGTTGTGGAAGCGGGGGTGTGTGCAAGTGTGTGCATTATTATGAAAGGACACACACAGCTTTCCTACAAGAGTTATGACATAATTCTGTGTATGTGTGCTTTGTGGCTCCAAACTCAGCTGTTCTCAGAATAACTGGTCCTGCGGATGAACTCCGTCCTGGACGTTCTGTTCCAGGTGTTCGGCACCGCAGGCCTGAGCTGGATTTTAAGTGACATGAGAGGTAAAGACTGAGTGTCGATTGTCTGGATGAACTGCTCCTAAAATTCTTTTGTATCCACACAGATGCATTCAGATCATGTGTAACTTAATTATAAGAAAGCATACTGGTGTTAGGGAAAAGCTTGTAATAGACTCATTGATGTTTTTCTGAGCAGATACTTGAAGGCTTATAAAACAAACAAGCCTTCTGATGTTCTTCTTATTCCCCACCAGAAATGTAGAGACACACGGGTTATCAATGTGTCAGTGGGGATCAATAGGAATGAGGGCTGACGCGCACACAGTGTCATCAGCGAGCAGATATGTTGATCTATTCTGAAGAGTTGATACATTAAGGTTTCCAACAAACACCATGTGAATAATGACAGTGTTCTTCAAAGGTCAAAGGGCAGAGTCCATCAGATGCTTCACACAGTTCTTCAAAAACAAGTGTAGTTGTGGGTTGTTGTGTCTCAGGATCTTCATGTCTGTACTGTTTATGATGTTGACGTCATTCATCGTGTCTTGTTGACTCTGCTAACAAACTGTAGTCTGCATTTTATTTCCTGTTTTGAAACCAAGTAATTATTCATTAATGGAAATGTTTAGTCCTGAGCGTTTGCAGTACCATATCATCTGGTGGTCACGCATACATTAAACTACAGTGTGCTCTAATGGTAACATCAGCTGTGTTTACTGTAGACCACATGTGAATACAGTCAGAATACTTGACTTCTTGGACGGGTGCATCTCAGCAGGCCTGGTTTCCAACACACAAAGAGCATGAAGGCAGCAGAGCACTCAGCTCAAATAAACTCATTTTGACTGGGGTGAGCAGACGGTGACGGGCTGACTCTGTGTCAAGCCCCAAAGTTAAGCCTCACCAGTATCCAAATAGCAGAGGCATGAAAGGCTGCTCACCCTCCTTATAGCTGTGGCAGGGTAAAACTATTGTTTGAGGCCAGTGAACATGCTTTCTAAGATAAGATAAGATAACCTTTATTAGTCCCACACGTGGGAAATTTGTTTTCTAATGTGGGTAGCTGGGCATTGTAACGTGAGTCTAAGGGGAAAGAGTCTGTCTTGGCGCGAGCTTCAAGTGGCCGGTGGAGGAACTACAATTTATGTCAGTTACACGTTTTTAGTCCCAAATGTGGCAGTTTGTACATTACCTGCAAAGCCAAAAGAAGCACCTTCGGTAATCTGAAGCTCTCTTAAATGTTTGGCTCACAGTCATCCCAGGATGTGACTTTGTGAATTTCTTTTTGTTTGGATGCCTCAAATAACTGAAGATATTTTGATCCACATCATAAAATCTGATCACAAACATCCATGACAACAGAAGGAGCAGAATGCAGCATAAACTGCAGGCAGGGCACGTTTATATTATCATAGGCCGTCCGTGAACATCCAGCGAGGCTAGTCCAGCTTAATCACAAAGCCATCCCTTTAAAAGATTCTTATTGATGGATCATTCATGTCCCGACACTCACCGGCTCCTGAACTGAAGCTGTGGTGCAGCTTTAACCGAGCTGAGCAGCGTTTAGTCCAGCATGTCTACGAGCAAAGCTGATCGTTTATGTCGGCACAACAGAATAAAGAGGACTCGAGGCAACTTGTTTACTGTGTTGCTTGCAGTCTAATGCATGCAGCACGTGCATGCATACTATCACATATTTCGAGGCACTTGTACAAACTCGTGTATTCACTTAAGAGAGTGCATTTCCTTCCTGGATCCACTATGATGAAGATGAAGACGTGGCTACACACAGGACACTTTGCTGCATTTCCCAGCTATGCAAAACTCATTCATTGTAAGCCACGTGTTTGGCTTAGCTGGCCTTTAAATCGATGGTGATGTGAACAGTTGTACAAAATGATGTTCTGTTTTTGAATAAAGCTAACTGACTGTCAGTCTCAGAGTGTCATTTGGACTTCATGTTATTCATGTGTTTTTGAAATGAGCTTTACAGAAGCTGCTTTATCATTCTCACAGGGCATGAATGCAGCATGACAAACCTGCCAGATGGTCAGCTATCAGAATCACAGCGGCTGAAAAAGCTTCAAGTTGTCTTGTTTTTGGACAAGTTTTTGACTCATTGACTGAAAGCAGCAGCTCTAAAACCACCTCAGTTCTTCCAAATGCCCAAGCGCTTAACTAAGGCCCACACATCTGTGTCCCAGCTTGCCACTTGTGGCCGGTTGGATCAGAGATTTGTTAAAACACCACTGAAGACATTCTTACTGCTGATGCTTCACTTTAAGGGTTTCACTTGCAAACCACCTAGAGCTGTCGAAGCAACTACAGGGAAATGTCAAGTAGTATTTGAGCAGTTCAGTAAGCACTGGTTCTGAGAATGGGCCACCAATATAGGTAAGTTAGTTGAGCAGGTGGCTCATATGCTGCTACTACAGAGGCCTGGGACCACACTGGGCCATTTTCCTGCAAGTCATTAAACCCATCTATAAAGGCTTAAAGCCAGAAATAAAAATCTTATTTTAAATCTGGCTGATCTCCTTTTCAAGATCAGTGAACAGAAGCACATCTTCTAGAGCTCTGTGTGTAATCTCATTTGGTTCCATTGTTCTTGCAGCTTTGTAACTGATGTCATATAGAGGCAGTTCTGGAGTGTCGTCCAGGTGCTGCATGCTCGCTGCATGCTCAATCATCCAGGTAAGTAAATCCTAAAAGACTGATTCTGTTCATCTGGACGTTTTCAATGACAGAAATGTTTCGTCACTCATCCAAGTGATTTCTCTGGCTTTTCAACCCCAAAACACGCTGCACCAAAAGCTGGTCCACCCCAAGGATCGGGTCCCCGACACAGACAGAGTAACATAGTGTACGCTGTTAAGTGCCAGGATTTATACATCGGGGAAACCAAACAACCTCTGGCTAAGAGGACGGCACAACACAGCAGAGCCACCTCGTCAGATCAGGACTCTGCAGCCTATTTACACCTACAGGCCAGTGGACACTCTTTCAATGATGAGGATGTAACATCCTGGACAGGGAGGGACGCTGGTTTTAGGGCGGAGTCAAGGAGGGAAAGACCATCTCTGAATGGAGGAGGGGGCCTAAGGGTACATCTGTCACCATCTTACAATGCTGTGATTGCAGCCATTCCCCAACTCTCTGCGAATGGGACTCATGGCCATTGATCAGTGGTTGTTGATCAATGGTCATCAATTTGCATGATTAAGATTAAGGAACTGACCTCCCAGCCCATTGTTCCTTCAGTGGGCTGGTTTCAGTCATTATGCAAATGTCCTGTTTATAAGATTGGAACCTGCAGTCAGCTGAGACTGAAGACGTCACCTGATGATGAAAGTTTCTCCCTCTGAAAACGTCCAGATGAACAGAATCAGCCTTTGGGATCAGACTCTTGGCTTTACTGCTGTCAGTGACGGGCAGTGTTCTTATATTGACAGAACCACATTCATGTGCTGTTGTCAGATTCATCTTAGCCCTATACAAACTCTGTACTGTGTGATTTGCACACACTTCTAATTGCTGTTGGTGTGAACTCTGAGCAGAGCAGCTCTGGCAAAACGGGTTTTTCTGGCAAAGGGAGAAGTCCAAAAGCTGCTCTGTGGGCGGCTTCAATCATCAGCTTCTACGTAGTTTATTACAGTTTTTCTCAGTTGCTTTGGTGCATTTCTCACAACAGAATTAAACTTTGCACAATAGTCAGTTCAACCTCCACAACATGTAGTCGTTTTGGCACAACCTTGTGGCAGTTTCATGTTCATTTCGTCAAATGCCTTTGGACATGAAGCAGTTGAATAAGTACAAATATCTAAAGAATGGTCACTTTTGACTTGCTGTTCATCACCATCTCCTTGCTTTGATCATGAATGTCACAATTATTTATACTTGTGCCGGCTGAATAGTCATTGTCCTTACAACTAATAGTCTTCATTTCATTGCTTGTGTCAGTGCACTCAAAATTGTTGAACATCTTGTCAAACAATTTGTACACCCATTTTGAAAACCCTACTTTTAAGGAGTTTCCATGAAAATCTCCATAAATTACTTTTCTCAGGTGAACCTTATCTCACACTAGTGAATATTGGTGTGTGTTACTCTTACTTGCAACCAATGAAAAGCCTCTTCTACCCAGTCACAGGTGAATCGCGTTACAGGATCCCCTACTCTACAAGTATGTATATAATGTAAACCAACAGACAGGATTGGCATGAGGTGCATACTGAATCTACAAAACTGCAGAACATGGAACGTCAGCCTTGTGGAAGAGGGGTGAGGATCGGTGGAGGACGAGGACAAAACCGGGCAAGAAGAGGCCAACCACATAGACACGTTCCTGACGAAATCAGGGCAACACTTGTGGGTCATGTGATAAACCATGGCCTCACAATGGCCGAGGCTGGTCAAAGGGTGCAGCCAAATGTTGGGAGAACTACTGTAAGTTCCATTATTCAGACATTTCGTCAGGAAAACAGGTGAGCATACTGTAATGTAGTTATTCAGCACAAACTAATTTGCTCTGCACTTTCATAGTCATACAGGAGATTTGCATTAGGACATGACCTTATAGATCTTTACATATAGACGTAGTGTAACTGAAGCGCAGACTTGGTGTGGCATAGTGTGCTGTGGTACAGTAATGCTGTAAAGAAAGGAGTTTAGAATGATAGTCCTGTAACAATTACTGTAAGCGTGTTTGCACTTAAAGGACTGCTAGACAACCTAGAAGAGGTGGACGAGGTCCACTTTTGACTCCGCAGCAAGAGGAAAGAATTTGTGCAATGGTGGCTGCAAACAACGCTTTGAGACTGAGAGAAATACAAAGAGCTGTCGTAGAAGATGACACCATCTTTGGAAATATTCAGTCAATATCAATGCCCACCATAGACAGAGTCCTCAGACGGAATGAAATGTCCATGAAGCAATTGTGCAAAGTACCATTTGAACGGAACAGTGAAGGAGCTCCGTCACCAGTATGTACAGGTAAAACATGTTTGCATATGTACCTCTGTTTACTGTAAAAGTTTAGGCCATGTACTGCACTTACATTTATGCATGTTACTGTAATCCTATTCACAGTTCAAACTGTACAATCTGTTGTGCCAAATGCACCATTACAGACTTTTTTATTCTCATCCTTTGGATAGTGTATCCTGGAATTGGAGGCCAGGGAACCCCTGCACATGTTTGTATATCTTGACGAAGCGGGATTCAATCTCACAAAAGGCAGACGGCGTGGACGAAAGAGCCACCATTGATGTCCCAGGCCAACGAGGAGGAAATATTACAATGTGTGCAGCAATCTCAGAAAATGGCGTTCACACCCATATTCCTCACATTGGTGCATACAATACACAACACCTGTTGGCTTTTCTGGACGCTCTTTATCGGGCCCTAATCCCACAAAATGAAAGGGATGATCCTGGTGACAATCGGACAATGTATGCAGTGGTTTGGGATAATGTTAGCTTCCATCACTCTGCTGTAGTCGGGCAGTTGTTTGCAGCACACGACAGGATGCTTATGGAGTTTCTTCCTCCTTACAGTCCATTCCTAAATCCAATTGAGGAGTTTTTCTCCTCCTGGAGGTGGAGGGTATATGACAGGCATCCACGTACCCAAATGACCCTGCTAGCAGCTATGGATGCAGCTTGTGATGACATCACAGCAGAGTCCTGCAAAGGGTGGATTCGACACTCCAGAAGATGCTTTCATAGATGCATCGATAGAGCTGACATTCGCTGCGATGTTGATGCAAATATGTGGGCAGACAGACGGGAGCGTCTAGATATCAATGATTGATATGCAGCAGTGTCTGTTTTTCAGGTTTTTGTTTCATGACTACTGCAGTAAGGTTTACTGTCTAAGTGAGTTTGTTTGCTGTAAAATGTTTGATTTGCTGTATTTCCCCAGTTGCACAAAGCTGTGAACAGTTTCAATTAAATATTATCAAGAGTGCAGAGGAAGTGTCTTGATTTTCCTTTGCAAGTTATGGTTTTCAACATGCCGTGCATGCTGTCCAGACTTGACATGTCATTGGGAAGCACCTACAAAGAACTCCGTCACAATGAGAACATGTTCAAACCATTTGATTTTGTGAGCAAAGGTGCTGGTGTAGTGACTTGTAATTGTGACGCCCTGACACTTTGATATAAGTACTTGCTTTGGATGGATATATTTGTTTTAATGAAGTGACTCGCTTTTGCAAGTTATCCACCATGTTTTGCAGTTTGCACTAATTGTTTTGAGAAGAGCCTTAGTAGTGGTGCAGAGATCAATTCTGTTGTGAGAAATGCACCAAAGCAACTGAGAAAAACTGTAATAGTAGCAAATGAAAAATGATCTGTCCACACTTTGCTCCTGAAAAAGCCCGAGTGGCACCACACACTGAAATATGAATTATGACCATGGGCCAGAGTACTGTTACAGCGCCCAACACCACAGGAGTACAGTTCATACATTTGTATAATTTTGTAATAAAATGAATTGTCTGTTTCACCTGCGGTTCTTCTGTAATATTAACACTGTACAGTATTGTTTCATAGTCTCACACAAAGATTTTAACAGGAAATATGAGCGCTACATTAGATCCACTGCAAACTCTCAGAACTGAATAATAATGGACAGACCACAGGATCTGTTGGCCTGACTGCAGTCAGACAAACTTTCTTTTATTACACCTCCACACACCAGGTATCTTCCCCACAAAGGTCATACAGCCACAGTGCTTTGTGTGGATACATAAAGCTTTGGTATCATTAGTCAGTTACAATGGTTACATGGACCCGCTGATGTGAATACGTTTGGCTTGTTGTTGCATCAAAGCAAATAAAAACAGGCTGAAAATTCCTCTGCTTTAGGACGACCTGCTGAACCAGGAGCACGATGACACATCGACATCGTTTCTGCCAGAGAAACGCAGAAA